GTTATAGTAGTAAGAGTGCTGTGGGAATTATGTAAGTGCTACACACACATTTACAATTTACACACAATTACACACTAATGCACTTAACACAGTGCATACTTTTTTCTGATAGCACAGCTGTGAAACAGGTGTCCGTTTTCAAACTCGCAACGCTGTCAGGAAAAACCCCTGAAATGACACGCACGGGTCTGTGATGTATATTCTTCCAACACAGAAACGAGTCTGACTTTTGTCTCTAATAGGATCATTTCCGGGCCAGGCATGAGAATTTAAAAATAACTTGTTTATGTGACTCCATGGGCCCTTGCAAATGGAAACCGCTCATTTAGTATTGAGAACACAATTTACAAAGCACTTAACAGAACTGTAAACGGCCTTTCTGATGCCTGAAAAGCTTTGTCTGAGGATGGAAATCAATAACGCTGCATCTCTCTTCACTTTGTTCATCAGCCTTTTCTTTCTTCCATTTTTAACATTAGATTACTGTATTAATGTCCTAGAAGACCATCCCCACGCGCTCAAATCTAGTTATATGATTGGCATCTACATAACAAAACCATATGCATGAATCCCACGCACACGCAAACAAGAGAGAGCACAAATCAAACAGTTTCAATCAGATTCGCACAAAGCCAAATGTATCTACAGTAGGTAGTTCAAACTGGGATAAGCTCGCAAATGAAGTCAAAAGCCTTGTCACAATCCCATCAATTATCAAAGGAGTGGGACACAAAGATGATGCCAGCGAGCTCCTATATCTCTCCAGCATTAATTAGGACTTCACTCAGTAATTAGCTATCTGAAAATAATTACCATGAAAATGTCTGATTAAAATCTCCGCCAGTCTCAAAGTCAGGAGACTGAAAGAGAGACACGGGCATCAAATTAAGGCGTGTTCCTTCTTCCTTCTAACGACGTCCACCACAGTTGTCCTCTCGTTTTGTTTTAATTGAGTGGCAGATATGTGGGAAGTACCTCTCATTGGCTGCGAGATGTAGTGTTGCATTGGAGCAGTTGATTGAAAGTGACCTTGGTCTAATTACAATTGGTCTAATTATAATTCTCTGATTACATCCCTGCAGGAAACGTAAGAATGAGATGCTGCTGGTGGCCTTAGCTAATCACGTTAAGATACATTCTGAATGATTTCTGAATTGAATAGATTCTGATCAGACACAGAAAAACAACAACATACTGTTGTGGCTGCTTCCACTACAAATACTTAATTACTCGGTTTTTATGTTTTGTTTTTGGTTTTTTTGCTTTTTGTGTTACAAATTATTGACATGAATCGCAAAGTGTTTATCTCACCAGTGTTTTTCCCTCTTATTTATTTTCATACATCTCCTTGCTTCCATGTTTCTCTCTGCCTGTCTCCTCTCTTTTTTGTTTGTCTCTCAGGCCTGAGGTCACGATGCCCTCCAGCTCCCTCCTTGGGAGCCGGGATGACATCATCACATCGCTGCCTCGTCCTCAGAGTGCCTATTCATCACCCCGATCATCATCGCCGGCATCAGCAGCATCACCTGCGTACGCACACGGGCACGCATACACACACCGACTGTATGCAGATAAAAGGGGAAGTGAGGAAGTGAACCCCCATCCCTCGTTCCACAGGACTGCAAGCTTAAAGGAAAAAAGGGAGTAAACCACAGAGCCACACACGTAGGGGGAGAGAGAGAAGATCCTGCTGGGCTAGGCAGAAACCCCTGACCTGTGCACTTCCAACAATACATCTCAATAAACCACTGTAGAGAAATGTGATGAGTCAGACTGCACGCTCCTGAGGGAAAAACAACAACAACATAAAAAGCAGGAGAAGACCCCAGCGCACAGACAAGCACCTCCAAACTCAAAACGAGGACCACACTTCCTCTCACACAGTCGCCAGTTTATGTAAAACTTCAGGAGCTCTGGCACTTCTCACTGTATTCCACTCTTTAGTGGTGAAGGCTGGATCTACCCTTAATGTGCAGGAACAACAGCAGTGAAGTGGAGCCACATTGAGAAAACACAGCCATAAACAGTGTTTCCACTACACGAGCCTGCGTCTCACTGCCCAGGCTGCTCTACAGCATAAATGTGCACGATGCAGTATGTGCTGCATTTTAAGGCTGCTGTGGTAGAATACAAGAGGAAGCAGGTAGAAACCTTAAGTTATGCACTGAGGTCTCTGCACTCCATCACAAACATCACAACAAGCATTCCATTAAACGCCACTTAAGATCAAAGATTCATGATGGGATGAAACCGTTTTGCAAGGCTGTGAAGACAAGTTGCCGCCATATGAGAAACGGAGTGTGCTCAGTACACGAGCCTCACAATAGATGTGAGAAATAAATGTCAGCTGTCTAAACTTTATGATCTAAATACATTCCACTCTGTCATTTTTGTCAACAACAACGCAACATTAGGTGAGCTATAATGCTACAATCCTTAAATATGGCGAGTAGGAAGCAGGACACAGAGATGCCGCTGCAGTGTTGTAGTTCAGTATATTTTTGGGTGGCAATAAACTGGATGACCACAGCTTCCGGGATTAATATTGTAGAGTCTCAATCTACTCAACATGAAGTTTAAAAATTAGACAGTATCCATATATGAATTTATTATTGAACAGAATACACGTTACAATCGCAAAGTTAAATTCCACCCATTTAAAAAACAAAAAACAATCTGATCTTCAAGGGCATCTCCTTGTGCTCCTCTGGGTACTCTTAGCAACATGGCTACTCGTGGCAGTTTTTTTCTTTTTTTTTGTGCTCGAGCAT